TAGAGAGTAAGTCACATTGTACAGAGTGTATTTCCACTGACACTGCATCAAATCACTTGGGGCCAATGACAGCAACACCTGCACGTATCTAAGAGGGTAATTTCAGAAGGGAGATTTGCCACCCTGAAATTTGGAGGAAAATGCCTCCTTTCCAGTGAAAGTAAACAAAACAAGACCCAAGGGCCTAACTTTAATTTGCACCATTGAAAATCCCACTCTACAACAGAATTTCTAATATACAGAACTTCTATATCCTACTAATGATACGCAAATTATTTCAAAATGGCAAACACAGACACAAAACTGTCCCTTTTTCCTTTTTACAAAGCATAGTACATAACCAGAGGAAGGAAAATCATTGTGTGTTACTCCCTTCTGCATAGACATGCATGTCAGTTAGGAACTTTTGCTGGCCCTTGAAGATGCAATTTTCTAACTTTTACACCGATCTCCCCAAAAAGCCAAAATACGCTCTCTGAAACTCATTCTAAATCGGAAGTGTTCAGTGTTTTAAAACTGGCTGTCCTGATCTCCTGCATGCGTGATTGTGTCTATTCCCCGCTGTCAACATTAGTATTTGTGTGGCTGTATAGGAAACCAGATGAGGATCAGAAGCCTGTTAGTGTTGAAGCTAAACCAGCCAAAAAAGTTTTCAGCCAGTTTCTAAACCAGTTTAACACGTAGTTGTGCTAACATTATTACTAGCTCAAGAGAAGCAGTGGAAAAATGCAACTGGGGAAGGATAGGACTGTTTTTCTGGGTCGTGGTCTCACTCAAGGGGTTTAAGTGACTGAGCAGTTTAAATATGGGAATCATGTCTGAGAGCAAATGTACTCTCATCAATCCTCTTTCTTTATTACTACTCCTACACTGGTACTTCCTTTTCCAGGACATTTCAATATTTTTTTTCTGAGTAAGATGCTGAAATAAAAGCAGGACAATATTTTTAATCAAGTGAATTTGACTAGTGCCAGACAACTGTAGTAGCTTCAGCAGTTTATTTGATATCTCACGCTATGCTATTGTCGCTATATTGGTTATATCATTTGCTTTCACTTCAAGAACCTGAAACATAAGACAGCACTGCAGAGCACAGACTAAGAATCAGAAACATACAATATGGATATTGAGACAAGTACTGGCTTTTCATGAATCGCTTTTTATGAATCCTGTTATCTTTCTCTATCATGCTGAAAATCATAATTCTGAAGGATCTCATTTCACAAGCAGAGCTGCTGGACCTCTGCTTCTGTAGTTTTGGAAGTGTATTTTTAAGTAAAAGCTGAAAGGCTTGCTGCTGTGTTGAAAGAAAACTAGAATCATAATGTACTGTCAGTGAAGGAATTGACAACAGAAAAAAGTTCAGGCTACAAAACCAAGTGAAACTTAATAGCTTTTCATGCCCCTTCTCAGAAAGAAAATATTAACAGCTACTGCATGATCACCCACCCACTCCAGCTTACTATTGGTTAGACATGGAGAAAGTGCAAGCTACTGGATTCTTCTTCCAAATTTGTGAAGCCATGCTAGTCTTAACTTCTAACAATCTAGTTGAGTGCTAGAGAAGGTGATGCAATAGAAAAGTTTGAGAAGGATATTATCTGGCTGTTCCTTATTCAAAGACCAAAAAAAAAAAACAAAACCACAAAAACATCAGGAAATAACTAATTATAATAAATTTGAGGTGATTAACCCTTTGAGGAAGGGCCTACAAATGCAAAGCGCTCTTAATTCTTACTAACACCTCTGAGATTATACAGTATTATTTTTATGAGAAGCATTGGCATGAGAATCCTATAAAAATAATTTTCATAAGCTCATAGAACAAACATAGCCTGAAAGAATTAAATCTTAGGTTCCTTGCAGTTGTCTCCAAGTTTACTGAATTCTCTCTGAAAGAAGAAAAAAATTACCACTTCAGTTCTCAAAGTCCAGGTTAAAAGTGGGCAAGTTTTAGTTCTGGGCATTTTTGGGATAAGGATACTTATGTATTGTCCCGAGTACCTCATTAATACTTTTACTTATAAAAACACTTTTACTTTTTACAATACATATCTAGGACTTCCCTTGGGAGTATTTTTATGAGCAGAGATCAAGGTTTTTCAGGTTTTGTCCAAGACTTGTAGACCCAGATATGTCCCGATTGTTCTACTGCATTGTCCATGTCATCTGCCTATCAATTCTACATGCATTAATTTTTCACATTTCCTGAAAGTTTCACAACATTGTATATTCACAACTGTGTATACCAAGGATACTTACTTCTTGGCCACTAGATCTGAGAAATCCTACTTTCTTATCTCTGTCAAGGTATTCCAGTTATTCTTTTCATTTTACACAGGAGGGAAATGGGACCTATTAGTATTATTAGTATTAAATTAGAGGTACTATTAGTACCTCTAATTTATTCATCTTAGCATCATTCAGATCTTTGAAGCTTCTCTCACCCACAGCACATCCAGTGCTGAACAGTGGCTGTCTTGGTTGCCATACCCTGTATACATATGAAAAATTGCAAGACTAAGAAAAGTAGAGTAAAAAAGAGTAAAAAATATTTAGAAGAAAATATTTTTAGACTAAAATTGTCCATCTGCAATGCAATTTTGGAATATATGTATATATGTAACAATATACAAAAAATACATATATGTAACAATAAAGAAACAATTCCTGCCTTCAGAGTCAAGTTCCTGCCACAGAACTTGGAAGCTGCATAACACACAGGTTGGCTAACAGCTCTGGAACAGAATTCCCAACACAGGCCTACCCCCATCCTTGCCTATGCACAGGACTCTACCACCTCCTGTCTTCATCCAGTTTTTAGACCCGATCTCAGGGGAACATAAGGTTCTCATTAGAAGGGAACCTTGCCTCTTTGTGCTATCATCAAGTCTGTTCTGGTTTAACCCCAGCTGGCAATTAAGCCCCACACAGTCACTCACTTGCTCCCCCCTTGTGGGAGAGGGGAGGAAATTAGAAAAGTGTGAAAACCTGTGCGTTGAGATAAAGACAATTTAATAGGTAAAGAAAAAGCTGCACACACAAGCAAAGCAAAACAGGGAATTCATTCGCTGCTTCCCATCAGCAGGCAGGTGTTCAGCCACCTCCGGGAAAGCAGGGCTCCATCACGTGTAACAGTTACTTGGGAAGACAAACACCATCACTCCAAATGTCCCCCTCTTCCTTCTTCTTCTCCCAGCTGTATATGTTGAGCATACACCATACACAGGATATCCCTTTGGTCAGCTGGGGAGCTGTCCCAGCTGTGTCCCCTCACAACTCCTTGTGCACCCCCAGCCTCCTCGCTGGTGGGGTGGGGGGAGAGCAGAAAAGGCCTTGACCCTGTGTAAGCACTGCTCAGCAATAACGAAAACATCCCTGTATTAACAACACTGTTGCTGGCACAAATCCACAACATAAGCCCACGCTAGCTGCTATGAAGGAAATTAACTATCCCAGTCAAAACCAGCACAATTCTCCATCCCATATTCCATACAATTAACATCAAACTCCGGTTCCACACTATCCAATACATCCTCATTAACCACCCCCACCCCCTTCCGATCCTTTGATATAATATACAAGTATTATTCCCTTAGTCTATGGACCACCCTTGCAAAATGTCCATAAAATATCCATTGAGTTCATTTGGTCCATGACTTTGAGCTCCATATGTTATGGTGTTACCCAGAATAGGAAATGTTCAGTGTTGCATGAAGTTAATGGGCACCAAAGCCAGCTCAGGTCAGGTCACTGCTGCACTTGCACTGCTTCTTGTAAGGCTTGTCCTCCACTGGTTCAAGTGGTTCCTGCTATAGCAATTACCATAAAGTGCAACTCAAATCCTGGATTACAACAATTTAAAAGTATTTCCATTACAGTCTCCAGCCCTGGTCCCTTTGGACCAGACTAGGGGGTTTAACATTGCAATGAACTCATCCCCTTACCCCTGCTCTGGCTTGAACTTACCTACATCCTGCTGCCCCTTAGGAGTGTTCCTGCTCCAAGTGGAGCCTCATCTTTGAGCCACAGTCTCTCCAGGGGTGTACTTGCTGCAGGTATCCTATCCACAGCCACAGTCACTTTGAGGTGCACCTGTTCCAGTGCAGCCTTATCCACGGGCCACAGTGCCTTCACAGATGTACCTGCTCCAGCGTGGTTTTAACCCACAGCCACATTCCCTTCAGGAGTGAGACTGCTCCAACATGGCCTTATCCATGGCTGCAGTCCCTCCAGGGCTGGACTTCCTCTGTCATTGGCTTATCCATGGCCACATGCCTTGATATGCCCCAGCATGACCTCATTCACAGCCACTAACTCTTCAAGGCATACCTGCTGCGGCATGGAATTTTCCAGAGCCACAGATACTACACGGTGCATCTTTTCCAGCACGGATTATCCTTGGGCCACAGTCCTTTCAGAAGTATACCTTGCTGAGGCACAGACATAACCACACTCACAGACACTTCAAGATGTACCTGCTCTGGCATAGGCTTATCCATGGCCACAGATGTTTCGGAGTGTCCTGCTCCCATGTGGATTTATCCAGAGGTCACAGTCCTATTGACTCAAGTTCACGCTGCAGTTCCAGCCTGTCCAGCGCAGCAGCACAGAAACAGCAATGATGCTCTGACCATCTGCCAGCTGAGGTGCATGGCCACTGCTGTTATCAAAAGGTTCCCAGGCACAGCAGAGGAAGATGATCAGTAGAACGGCAGTACAGCAAGCAGCGGAAGCAAAAAGCAGCCACTAATGAGCACTAGACTCTAACATACAATGAGACAAGCAAGGCCCATAGCAAGCACAGGAGACTATCAATTAGTAGATAAACAGCAACAACAGCTATAAATTTGATCTAGCATATTTCAATCAAACCTGTCATTATCTCAAAACCTTTGAGCCTCACATTGGGTGCCAAAAAGGACTGTCATGGTTTAAACCCAGCCAGCAACTAAACCGAACACAGCTGCTTGCTCACTCCCCTTACAGTGAGAGGGGAGAGAAAATCAGAAGAGTAAAAGTGAGAAAATCCGTGGGTTGAGATAAAGACAGTTTAATAGGTAAAGCAAAAGCCATGCATGCACAAGCAAAGCAAAACAAGGAATTCATAACTGTTTCACATCGGCAGGCAGATGTTCAGCCATCTCCAGGAAAGCAGGGCTCCATCATAGACAGAGGAAGACAAACACCGTAAGTCCAAATGTCCCCCCCAGCTTTATATGCTGAGCATGACACCATACGATACTGGATACCCCTTTGGTCATTTGGGATGAGCTGTCCTGGCTGTGACCCCTCCCAACTCTCTGTGCACCCCCAGCCTCCTTGCTGGTGGGGTGGGGGGAGAAGCAGAAAAGGCCTTGACCCTGTGTAAGCACTGCTCAGCAATAACTACAACATCCCTGTGTTATCACACTGTTTCCAGAACAAATCCAAAACACAGTCCCATACTAGCTACTATGAAGAAAATTAACTCTATCCCAGCCAAAACCAGCACAAAGTCAAAGGAAACAAGATTGAGTCATTCTCACAAAGGAAAAATGCATTTTTTTACTAATAAGGAATAGAATGCAAGTCCTCAGACTTCAGTGATACAAAAGCTAACCTGACTGTAGAACAAGTGGATTCAAACACTTGGGCGCAATAAACACAAAACCCAGCTCTCTAATAAGTCCTGAAAGAGAGAAAGGCTGCACAACTTGGATTAGCATTTTTCATGTGATATCTGTATATAAGATACAGGACCAACAGTAGAACATGGTTTTCAGCTCAAGCTTCTGCACATAAAAATGTGCTGTCTTCACCAGCCCCTGAACTCCACAGAACTCCAATGTGATTTACAGAATTTTCTCTGTAAGACTATTGTCCCTAAGCACTGTATACAAAGCTTAGGCAACAAACGAAGGCATCAGGATTTCACTACTGGTGTAGCATTTAGAGCTTATTTGTTATCAATCCAAGAACTTGTTGGATATTGTAATAATAGGAATTAGGTTATGGGTTCACAGATCTGATATTCTGAAATCAGAGAAGTAAACGTCACAATGCATATATGCCACTAACTAAGCATTATCAAATACACATTTACACCAAGATTTGCTTCAATTCTCAGCATTTAATGAATGTAGCACAGAGAAGTACACATAAGATACCTTGTTCTGCTTAATCTCTTATTCTGAAATGCATCTTAATTGTACACCCTATTCATTCATGATATATCCAAGGGGAATATAGGAACTGTCATAACAGAGCAGGCACTTCCAACCACATTCACTTCCTGCATTATGGATACAATAGAAGCAAGTTAAAAGGTGTTTGTGGTATCAAGTCAGTTTCCAACAAAAGGGTACCCTGTTCACCTTATTTCATACTTCCCAGACTTCATTTTTATGAAAAATCATAAACCAGATGACATCTTCATCACACCCACTGGTCTCTTCAGGTCAAAAGAGGCCCATGGAAGCTATCACAGGGAAGTGTAATGCTGCCATATCCATTCAGGGGTTTCATACTCCTGTGCTGTTAAGCCAGAAGTCTTCACTGGCATTGTATGTTCACTTTAGAGCTTCTTTTGTGGTTTGGTTTGGCTTTTTTTGGTTCTTGGGGAGGGTGTGGTTTCGGGAGTTTTTTTAAAGAAAAGAGATGAAACATTATTCCATCACAAACCAGGTATTTTTAGCCAGCCATAGCAGGAGGCAGTTGCCTTTGTCATTAACCCATTTCCTTCATATAATAAAGGGAAAAACATTGCTGAAGAAAGCAGTGAGGTGCTGATATGTTGCCAGTAGAGACTAACTCCTAGCCTGTGAGATTTTCTGAGGGAGAAAGAGCATATGTACCCACATCTCTCTTTGGCAACTAAGGAGCTCAGTTTTGTAACTTGTTATATACCACTGTTACTTTCACCAGTGATCTTACCGAGGATTCTGGAGTCCTATAGTTGCTGCACATATTTGTTGGAACCCTATTATGTATGTAATTTAACTATATGGATCAAAATGAAATGCCCATTTTTAGGGAAAACTTCCCTAACAGTCTTATTTCAACAAGCTGATCTGTATTTCTGTATCCACATGTATTGGGCATCACTAATTAAAAGACTTTACTATCCTACCTACTAATGCAAATCAATTTAATTCCAGTCTGCCAGACTGTATAAGTAAAGAGAATAGTGAGGTGCAGAGGATAACACACAGAAACTGCAAGAGCATAAAACAACCACTGTATTCCAGAGGAGACTGAATAGGTCACAGGCTTAAAGAACTGTGGAAGCAAGAGCATAACTCAACTCTCTAACTCGAAATTTTTTTTGTGAGGTAATGGTAAGACTGAAAGCATAAACTTAAATACAAATAACAAATAGGTTTCTGTCTGCACAGAAAAGTAATCAAAGCTGCCAGCATCAGTGGTAAGAGGTACTGCAAATGAAGACAAAAATAACCTCAAACATTTTCATATCTGCACTGATTATTCAGATGAACAACATAAATTATTAACATAACTTTTGAGGTTGACACCTGGAATCCAAATGAACTAAATAACTATATAGATTAGACTAGAGATATGGATTGGGGAACTTTATTGCAATATACAATTTGTACATTGTACAGTGTTCAGTTTTTAACCTTCCTCCCTAAGAAATAAAAAAACCCTTGTGAAGAGTTTTGGGTGTTTATTGTGAGACTGTTTCACAGGTAACAGTGAATTCTCATTTACATACTATTGCTGACAATTACTGACAAAAATCCAATACATTTTAACAAAATACCTTGACAACACATTAGAATCTTCTCTGAGGACTGTATAATTTTAATTTCAAATTAACATCTGACTCATTCCCAAGAGTCGCAGAGTCACACATTAGTTTAAGCCCTGTTTGTATTCATATGCATTTGTTCAACTCTGTAAATACCCATAAAGTATTGCTAGAATACATTCAAAAGGTTGAGAACTACTCAAATAATTGTTTTTACTAAACCATGGGTTATGCTAAATAAGGTAAAATGTGCTAGCTGATAAGGAAGAATAAAGATAAATAAAATAATTTAACATAATCTAGTATTTAATGGTCACGGATATCTTTATAAGTCTTTGGACTTATAAAGTATTTATATCCACATTCACAAAGGTAGAAAAACTAACGAGAGCATGATGAGATATTTGACTTAACATACGGCAACAAGGTCAGATCTAAAGTAAGATTTTGCTGTCTCAAATGGGATATGAATGAACTTGGATATGTCAGTTCTTAAGAGCTCCTGACATGACTAGAGTTTTACTCCTGTTAACAGCTACAATTTTTTCAGTCCTCATAGAGCTGCTTATACACAACCTAACCATAATCCAGAAGTCAGGCCTGATACTATTAAAGGTTTCAGTTAGCTTCAAAGTTGCAAAACTTACCTGATGCTTTCAGATCAAACTCAACATATGAAGGCAACAAAGCTACTAGCACCCTTTAAAATAACATAATCCATGACTGGGATGTTTGTGGAGCATCTTCTGTTCCACAGAATCAGGATTACTCTCCCAGATGTGTGGGACCCACATTCAATTCCTCATCTGCCCAAGAACATTCAGTTTGACCTCTCCTGGGAAGTGTCTTGAACCATCACGCTAGGGTCTGCTGTCTGTACACCATTGTTCTGACAATACAATCTCCACTTCCTTACCATAGCTGTTGTTCTCAGAATTTTTTCTTCAAGATACAAGTTGATCTGCCTTGAGTAATGTCAGAAATTTATAACCTTAGTATTGGGTGTATCTTCACTAACTTGAACTACTGAGAAGTCAGCCCTCTCTTCCTGGCTCCTCTCTAAACTGCTTTTATGTTCAGTGGAAGGAAAGGGACTTCACAAAGGGCAAATAATTCCATCATCAGAGACTTATGGACTGCACTGTGGAAATGCTACCCGCTATCCCACTGAAATAGAAAATCAGGCAACAGACAAATACCTAGATTTTTAGATTACCATTGTTAGAGAAGACAAATATTACCCAAGCAACTAACAAAACTGTCCGGGAGACTGAAAAAAAAGTCTTGAACTCTCCATGTCTACTCCTATAAACATTCCCAAATTTTAATGCAAGTAGTCATGTGTTGTGTAGAGAGCTTGTGCACATTGAGAGATCCAGTGATCATACTCAGGACCAGCTATCTGGAGTTTAGATGTGCAAAAATGTACTGTACATCCCTAAAGGTAATACTATTTCCCACAGAAGGGGGTATTTCTCTCGGGTACTATCAACACGAGATGCTTTTTAAGGTTTCTCCCCCTCTAGAGATTCTGTGGTGATGAGGCACAAGTATATCTGCAGTTCAAGTTCTGGATTTGAAAAACTCTGTTCTTCGGGCACTTCTGCTTCTCTCATCACTGGACATACTCAGCCTCAGGAGTGCTAAAGGAGAACCAGGTGTAGCACTCCAGTCTCATTTCATACCATTCCTACTGAATTCTTGACTAAGACAGTAAGCGCTACTACTTTTCCATTCCATTTGTTCCAATAAACTCCTTCATTTTGCCCTGGGTACCTACTGGGTTTGGGGGTTTTGTTGTTGGAGAAGAGCTGGTTGGTTTGTTTGGGTTTGGGGTTGTTTGGGTTTTTTTCTTAGATAAGTAGCTTAAAGAAGACAACTTGAATATAGCATCTCTTGGTTCACATGGAAAGGCTACTGCCAAGTCCACCTAGGACATGACTGACATGAGCAAACAAAACCTGCTGATTTGAGCTAAATGTCATACCAAGTATCACCAGGTCACATATCAGCTATGTTCCCCATATTTTTGAATCTTTTAGCTTGCATTATACTGCTAAGGATTCAATGCAGATGAATTAATCAGGAACATAATCTTTAATCACATTTAAAATGTATTTAGTCATTGTGGGTTTATTCATGATAGGTTTATTTCCTTACCAAGTATGTACTTTAAAACCAAGCTGCTGGTTTTACCCCCCTTCTCTATATTACTGAAAAGTTAATGTTTTAATATGATTGTAGAGGAGTTTTTAATACAA